AAGCGGGTAACTAAGTTGTAGGAGAATAATAGAAAAGGAACGAAAAATAGACTAATTGAAATATTAAAACTGATTAAGAATTTGCAACGCTTCGAATAATTCCAAAGGATCAGCGAAATTTCAAAGAAAGGACGGTAGTTTCCGACATCTCGATTGATTCTTTGGTGACTGAGAATTTTATTTCGAAAGTTTGGAATCAAATTTCTCTTTCTGCCATATATTGTTCGAAGTTTTATGATAGAGTTACGAATTAGAATTCGATTTCTAAGTATAAAGCGACACCCACGACAGTAGTTCGATTGTGATTTACGAATGGATTAGGCAAGAATGCACACGATTATAAATTATTTTGGATTTCGACCTACGGAGAAGTGTCGTTAAGCTTGTATAATTTACATAACATTGTTTATCCCGGAAGACGACAAGACGTTAAAAATTCTAAAGTGTAGTATAACTGGGCGATTTCTATCGGCGATGTCGTATGAATAATAGAATTTATTCAAATCTTTGGTGAAATCGAATCTACGAAAAAATTCGGGGAATGCTTGAGCCCGATGCTACAGCGTGAAATTCAATTCGCTTTTTGAATTTGAAAATCTTAGGAATTAAAATATGGAAGAATCTTTATTCCATAAAGTTGAACTTTCTACTTTTTCGTATTAGCATTTAGAAGAAATTCATTCATAAAGCAATGAAAGAAATTCAATCGCTTAGCTAATTATAGAAAATACGAATTTTGATTACAATTACTGTCCATTTATTTTATAACTTTAGAAAGATGGAAATGAGCAATGTTAATCAACGCTCGACGTTGATGAGGATCCTGAATGATTTATGACATTCCCTTTTTCACCTCAACCACGCAGGTAAACAGTTAACAATTCGTCTTTTAAATCGCCGTGTAATTGTTAGACTACAAAAAGTCAAGGTCGAGATCCTCAGTAGATCTATATTCTTCATCTGCGTATACCGGCAAAATTCTTGTTTTGAATTGCTTATTACATAACCTAATTACTCATACCTGTCATAATATATACAAAAAACTGTATTGTTAGAAAACATTGCATATTTTTATTAAATTAAGTTGCGAATCGTAACCATAACATCTCAAGCAGTTATAAAAGTATTGCCATTATTTGTTTAAGGCTGAAACTAGGAATAAAGAAACTATGAAAAATAGATTTTTTATACATACATACCACATCAAAATTTCCAGAAAAAAAGTATTAAATTTTGCGATAGAAGCCTCAGCTTGTGTCCTAAGACATGCCTTATTTTTCTCAGAAAATAAGTTAACGTCGGAATAAGAAGGAACTTCGCAAAAGTAGTCTCGAAATAGAAAGAGGGGACGAAATTCGTTACAACAATTTGCATCTTGCGGTTTTCGACGGTCCTCTAAAATTTGAATGCGCATGAACGAAGGAGCTTCAACCGGTTTCGTGGTAAGAATTGCAAGATTTCATTCGGATTCATGGGTCACCGGCCGGTGACCAAACCACCGTACCGTTTTATGTTTCCATTTTTGCACTCAGGTAGAAAGACGAAAAAAGAATGTGTTCGCGGATTTTCCTGGACCAGAAACTGGTTTCAGTTGGAGCAGGATACATTTTATGATTCTCTCACCTCGTTGCAGCTTTTGGCTTATCGTAAGACACTCGTTTATCGATAGAAACCCTTTTCTTATTGTCTCCCTTCTTTCACGAGGAACTTTTTGTTTCTCCGGTAGGGCAGGAAACTTTAAGGTACTTATAATGTTTTCGAATATAAGATGACGTATCATGTAAAATTCCTTAAATACCGTGATTCGGTACATCGCAATGTAGTGATCTGATAAGGAAACGATTTTATTGTAATAAGAGTATCAACTGAATTTTCTGTTTAAGAATTTGCAAAATTCTTCTATTCATTTATACGTCAAAAATGTTTTTCCTGTAGTGTTCAACGTATGAAACTCTTTTTAATCTCTACACAACGAAATACCAAAAAGGCGATCAATGAAAAAGTTTCCAATAAAAATATGCAACTTTCTCTGACTCGGGAAACGGTCTCTGCGCATCAATGTCAAGGTTGGCTCTTGCTCTTGATCTTCGGATAAGAAGATGACGTAACGTGTCTATAGACAAAGAAGAACAGGATCATAAATTTTCCATCCCCGAGTACCATCGGTAGAGATACGCAATAAAGACGATAATTAAGACAATCCAGATGCATAACGAAGTAACAGTACAATAGCAATGCAAGATATATCAGCAACGAGTTGATCACATTCAAATATTCTTGCCACGCGAATGATCCTTGATATCGTTTTTGTTGGAGCGGCCTGAATGATCTCTTAGCGCTGTTAAGTAACGAATATGCGATCATCGAACGATGGAATTCGTTGATTCGCCGCTATCAATTCTACCATCTAACCGGCATTTTTCCTCGTTTGCTAGAATTACATCGACAGTCTCTCTCCTGGTTCATCATACCTTTGATGAAATACCACGTCTGAGCCCGATACGTTCTACATCTTGCTTCATTACCAATGCAACGAATGCTGTTTTCAATTTTAACGACGCAACGAGGATATACGATGGGTATATAGTTACAGGAATTTCGTTGATGGTATCTAAGATGTTATCTCTTTCTTTAGTGGTATTGTTTATTAGTAAGTAAGATGTTATCTCTTCTAAAGGATATATAAAAATTCGCAAATGATTGCTTCGTTTCTCAATTTTTGCCAGTGTTCTCCTAAGATCGACGTAGATGTCTGCGTAATCGGTAAGCAAAATAAAAAAAAGAAGAACGGAAACCACGGAATAACGAATGAGCCACTCACAGGTCAAAGTGATTAACTTTTTGAAATTTCTACTTTTCGAGAACGGCTTCAATATCCTCGATCATCTCACACACTCGAGATAACGAGAAGACGGATTTCAAGAAACGAGGGAATCTAATTTTAATCGCTTGTTCGTCACTCAGGCGACCCGACCTCACCTGGAGGAACGTTTAACCACAGCCTGACGGTACCATAAAGATCGGTTTCGCACATCCATGCAATCGTAATTAATATCCGCAAGGGGATCACGAGCGATGCTCACAGTGCTCGAAGGACTGACACCGTTTCGATCTCTCCCCAGTTATTGCTTCGTGTGACTTTGTGGCGTTCTCGAAAGCCGTCACGAATGTCACGGGACCAAGATGGCGGTGCGGACATTGGAGATCCGGCTGGCTTTTATCTCAGCCGAACTAATCGGTCGAACGTATCATGCCCGGTTTCGATAGCGAAACACGACCGATGACGAAAGGTTGATGACATCGCGATTCGCCCGAAGCATTTCTTGATCTTTTACTCGTAAATCTTCGCTTTTAATGACGCGGTGTCGCGCGTACACGATGCTTGGAATTACAATTGGATTCGAGGGCGTAATGTAGGGTGCGCCAAGGTATTCAACAGTTTCGGTGCTTTCGAAACCGGACAAGCAATTCGATTAACCCTCTAACCTTCGGGATCCTTTTTAGCGCTATTACTCATGTGCGAACGTTCGCCTGTTGACGTGTATTAGATTGGATCACTGAAGTCTTCGAGAGGCAGAATAAACGAAGAGAGCAATTACAGACTGAAGAGGTACAACAAAGAGTTGGAAAGGAGTTTAGCGAAGGCGGCAATGAACGATAATCTTGTTATCCTTACATTTTAATTAGGTTCTGTTTCTTTGCAGTTTCAGTTTGGACTGCAAATTCCTCGAGAGATGGAATTTTAACGGTTAAAAGCAATGACACGTTTCCTTGGTACTGGACGATAATATAAAGAAGCTTACGGTTCTTCTGCGAGCTTTATATTATTTGGTCTTATTTCTCCTTTTAGGTGACTTGATTCTTTGAAGAACGATATTTCTACAAACTTCCAGTTTGAGAATATTCTTCTATGCCTTAATTAATAAGCTGTTTGAAATGTTTAAAGCTATTCGAATTTGAGTGAATGCTATTAATCCTTGTACGATAAGATATTGTGTCTGCAATGTCGAATAATTAATTCTCTTCATCGTAATTTCGACAGACCGATTATCCCTCGAAGAAGTAGTCGTATTACTTCCGGTATAATCGATCATCGGTAATACGACTACTTCATGGTGGTCGACATATTAAATACGTAGAATTAATTACGAGAAGAATTTACTCGTTCACAACTGTGCTCTTTATTTTAGACTATCACTTTCGTGTTAATTAAATTCACACATTTGTGAATTCTACTTTTAAATTGTCACATATGCTTTTTCATTAAATCTGATACTCTTAATTAAGACAATTAACATTTCACAGGAATTAATTTCACGTCATCGTGATTTTCATGGATCGATAGGACGAATATAATTTGCTGAGTCGTGGACACGCCAACAATAGCAACAGGTGGGGAAAGGAAACCTGTACATAAATTAAGACACACGAGAGCCGTATCGACAGACCGACAAATTAAAATACTACACACCACTCCCTGTTACATGTACTAATGGCTTACCGGCTGTGAAGTTCAATGTTTTGCACCGGTATTGCTCGTACTATTAGTTGTACCTGACCAACGAGCGGAGCATTAGAAAGTGGCTATTATTCATTGATGTTTCCACAACGTAATCGTTCTAGCTGTTAAATTTCATACCTTTTTATTACGAGCGTTTAACCATACGATTACTGTAAATTATCATACGTCAACCATAATATATTCTATTATTTTCTGATATTATTCGTCCCCGTGAATAAACATTTGGGTTGTTATAAATGTGTGAAATATTTCCGGATATTCCGGATATTTTCCGAAGCTCGTTCCGATCCCCGGAAAAATTACGTACGATGATAACTAATAACTAATAAAATATTTAAGTTTCTTTCAGCCAAAAGTAGCTGTACGTTATTAATAATTATGAAAAGAGAGAGTCTTAAAAAGTTATTTCGACTGGTATAGCAATTCTGGTATTAAACGTATTTATCTTGTGGTGCTTCTTATGTATCCCGCTGCAATAATGGACGTCGAAGATGAAGAGGCGAGATCTGCTTGGGTAAGAGATTAATTAGTATTCGTTACTCAATCTATTTCATCATAGCGACATAATACGACCCATGATTCCAATCATACAAAGGTCAAAATGCCATCCAGTGCAACTTTCAGCACACTCAGATTTATTCGGCGTGTTAAGGAATCTTCCAAGGGAAGTCTCATCGAGATAAGCAACTAGAACTAATTAAGATTTCGCAGAAACACAGTGAGGTCATCTGTAATAATTTCACGGTGTCATAGTAGATGGGCGAACAGTTCACTGACTTTCATTCTATATGGTGATGTTCTTGAAAAGAAGGACGTGCGAGAACACTTCACGGAGAAGCATTCAGCGTGGACAAGGATTTAACGCACATCACGACCATGATTTGTTGTTGCCATAATCAGCCAAGTGTACCGTCCACGTGGCAAAAAATCGACTAACATTTCGGAATGGAATACCAGATCCGTGTTGTACACTTTCATGCCGAGCACGCATTCTTCTGGCAGTAGAAGAAAAGACTTTGTAATCTTGCCGACTTACAGCATCCACATGAAACCTCGTCTAAGGGAATTCGTGTAACTGACATTAAACTTTGCTCTAAGATACAGGTGTCTCTGGATGTTTGATGTTTTTCTTAGAACTCCAGCAATTCTAGTTGGATAAGAACGTTGTGAGTTTTGTATTCAGTATAGAAACTGAAAAGGTTTACGATCTACGAGTCCTACGAGGGCGATTATGAAAGAGGGTCGTGGTCTTAAAATTGTCCACGATAATGTCCACGATAATTTAATAATTGGACTAACGGACTTCACTTTCAATTCGTGGTCTCGTCTAAGATCAGAGAACGACCGTGCCTCTAACTCTATCATCATGGACTTATCGTCGGCCACTTAGAAGTTAGGTGACTTTTGCTCCCTTAACTTCGAGGCCATGAGAGCTGTTACGGGTTATTCAGAATAAAGACTTACATGAAACATTATGCAATGTAGAAATCTTGGTATTTATTTCTCTAGGGTTATAAGAAATATTATTGTTGAGGACTCTAGACTGTCAAGTTTAGATCTGCTTCATGAAGTCTCAAAATCGCTCGATTCCTAAATAATCCGTGGTAAAATTTTAGTCACAGTATCGAGTACTTTTTACTTGTATATTTCCAAGATCATGGCTATCCGGATTTCCTGGTTGGTCCATAATAGCTCTACTGATTCCAGAGTCAAGGACTCTGCAGTTTCCTGACCTCGGGTAGGTTCGTGATTGGTTTCAGTGTTCGAATAACAGGTTTCGTGGTTCACCATCTTTCGGATGGTCCGTGGTGGTCCCACAGTCTCGAAGAATACGAGGTCATCCAACGCTTGAAGGATTCCGCACGGATTTCGCAGTCCCAAGACTATGAAAGTACACGTCCTTTGATCCTTGAATTGTCCTTGCCGGGTCCCACGGCCTCGTGTTTGGCGAGTTCAAGGTCTCTTATTCTGTGTAGCTCGTGGCAAGTTTCTCGACCTCGAGACCAGTGAATAATTGCACATCTTTCAAATTATTCGCGAAGAGAAAATTCTACCAATCCGCCATTATGGTCACCATCTCTGTAGCTCCATAACTTCAGTCGTATGGAAGTCAATATTCTGTGACCCCCGGGTTAAGTACATGGAGATTTTTCAGATCTAAAGCTTGTGTATGCCATGGACACGCTATTGATTACATAATGTTTCTTAATCCTAAGAACGTGTCACGTGGGAATGCGTGGTTTTAATTCAATATCCCGCATATTGATCACGTACATATCTGTCCTCTTACTTAGAACAGATTTAACATAATCGTACGCATTACTTTGAGTTTCAACAGACTAATGAAATCAATCGCATCCTTCGCTGGAGAATATATGTACATCGTGTACGTCAGCCATCTATCACGTATACCATTTTATCTGCATACCGACATAGGTACAAACATTTTACTTTATCTCGGCTTGTCCGATTAGTATCCTAACGTTCCTATCCGTTTCATTTATGTATATCTATCCTCATTTATTCCACGCCCGAATTAATTTCACCTCGGACTCGCCTAAAAGCTACACACCTCTACGACCTACCCACGTTTTGCAACAACTTTCTCGAGCCCCGTGCTATCTCTCACGAAGATACGAGAACGTATCGCCGATCTTGATCAATTTTAAGACCCTCGACTACCATGTTCTCCATTTCATTATACTTTCAACGCATTTATAACGTCTCCCGATGTACCGCGCGATTCGTTAGTGCTGTAATCGCCCGACGAGTTACATCTTTCAGCCTCTCATCCTGATACGAATGCATTCCTGAAGTTCCGGACATTCCGGGCTAACCGGTCATAAGCATGTCGCGAATCGGTGTCGGAGGATAAGGAAAGAAGACGAAAGAGAGAGAAGAAAGAAGGAAAAGGATTCACGTGTCCGACAGATCTACCGATTACCGATAGAAATCAAATGGAAGGTGTAAGATAAAGGAGCTCTCGTCTCGTTTCACGAAACGAAGCAACCGAACGAGTCCCGAGGCACGTATCGAGGTCGTTAAAGGTTCTAGGGGAAAAGGTTAATTATCCCGAGCCACCGCGGAGAATTCCGGAAGATGTTTGGCAACTGTGCCTGCCGTGGAAGCGAAAGTCTTATTTCTATTGGCGTGCTCGAATAGGAGTTACTGGTCAGGTCGCGAAACGGCCATTTGATGCCTCTAGCCGGCCTTTTGCCGTGATATTGAATAATACTGGCGTTAAATGTACCCGAGCCTAATTGTCGGTAATGACCGTGTTACGACAGCTTCCGCTTTCTATAGAGCACGTTCCTCCTACGCCCTGCTATTCCCTGGCTTTTCACCTCTTTCCTTCTCCATTTTTTACTTCTTCCTGTTCATCGCGTTCAGCAATTCATGTCTGCAGGGGACATTAGACAGCGTTAGCACTCCTGACCCCAAACTTTCGTAAATCGATCACCGGGAAATTTAAAGAGGAGCATTCATCAATGCAACCTTTATCGAGCATACTTTCACAGAGCTTTCGTTCATACCAACGATAATTAATTTGGAATGCATAATACGAATTTGAATGCATAATGCGTAAGTGAATTATGCAGAGTGCTTGAGGAAAACAACAGTAAGGGTCCCTTCTTGATAATTATCAAATACTCACACGTACCCACGCAAATATAATCTGATTATAATCCGAAGAAGATAGACAGTGATTACATTTACAAAAAAGTAATTTCGATACCTCTAGTAGTTGTAGCGTTAATCAACAAAGTCCAGGCTTCTAAACTAGTGTTTCTATCATTCAAAAATTAACGAGTATTTCCTCCACCTATATGGAAATTACAAATTTGAAACTTTGAAAAATTGATTCGATGTTGGAAGGAATTTACAAATCGAATTAGTGAAAAGAAGAGGTGGAAGAACGGCGTCATTTCCATGTGCGTCCGACACACTTGCGAAAAAGCGCTTTCTCGCTTAGGACGATTGATTTACGAATCTCCACGCTCGATTCACCGACGTCCTACGTGTATCAATTTCACGTCGGTAGTCTTTTCACCTCGACATTGACATTTCGGTTGTAGAATTTGGGTTGGACATGGCGTAGGCCGGCGTATGAAAGAGTGGTCACTAGGCCTGTAATGTATCAGGCCCATTGCCAGTTTGTAACCGCGGGGTCAATAAACCGCACACTTGGGGACGCACACGAGGCGACGAATCGGGAGAATCTGCTTAAGTTTGTTAAAAATTCACGCACGGGGGTCAAACGTGTGCGGCATATATCGTGGTTCACTAGTAAGAGTATGTTTTCCGGTACACGATATTCAACCACCGTATCTCACGTGATCCACCAACGCGTCCCGCCATTGACAAAGATCGATAATGAAGGAGAAGAATTTTCCTAAAAGAGAAGTTTCCGCAGAAAATAATCGATTCTTGTTTTCTAAGATTTTCTGGTAATATAATTTTTAATTAGTCGTCGAAATTATGATAATTTTTTTAAAATTTGAAATGGCATGGAAAATTAATTATCAAGGTATCGATTAATTACTGATTAATGATGGAAGAAGTATTGCTATATTCGTATAATTGGAAGTGTGATGGATCGAAGAATTCGGTAGAAGACTTTCTTTTTCTTTTCTTTTCCCAAGCGAATAACCTTCCTGAAACGTTTCTCACTTTTGAGAACTGGCTTGTTATAATCTTGTCAAAGCGCGCCAAGGTTCCTGTGATTTAAATATTCTAATTTAATGCGATTTAGAACTTCGACGTTCACTAGAACTTCACTAAGTGTATAATAATGAATGAACTAAGATTGTACATACTATGTCGGAAGTTGTAGTAATTACCAATATTACAAATTCTTGGTCGATTAAATCCCATGTAACTTTAATCGTTATACAAATATGAAAATAAATTACACATTTTGATGCACGACGTTTATATTCGTATCTTCGTCAGCGTAATTTATGCGAAAATGTATAACAAAGAGAAGCAATTAAATTCCCCAATACCTACCATACTAGATTCCCATTCCTTTGCGTCAATTGATAACAATTGAACGTATTGCTCTGTGCCACGTGAAAAGCCTTACAAACCACTCTGCAAACACAATTAAGATTACATATTACGTAAATCCATTTCAACGCACTTTCCAGTCACAAGAAATTTCCTAATCGCCTTACCTAAGCACGTCTAAACACATCCAACCTAAAAGAATCCCACGATCCAAAAATCTTCTACTCTTGAACTCCATTCTTTTCGCGTCGATATTCGACGGTAGCAAAAATTCCAGAAATTCGGTATATCGTATAATTGGCAACGATAAATTTTGACTCGTCACCGAGTTGGACCCAGAGCTGAACAGGACCTCAGAATATGCAACGGCCATAAGACTCACATAAATTTGACCGCAGACGTTACGTGAAATTTGCTGGTAACGACCGAAAATTCCCACTAGGGATTCGTCAGCGGCCAAAAATCTCCGTGATCGGGCCATGCATTCCAAGATATCTCCTCCCC